AGTATAACAATCAACCCTAAACTCAACATTAAAATAAAAATGCAAAAATTTTGATTCTAATACAAAAATCAATACAATCATAAGTTTGAGATGGAAACAATAAACCATAATATTCCACAACAGTTTATTTTAAATGTTTAGATATTTTTATATTCACAACTGGAAATCATATTAGTTTCAGATGAAATTGCAAAACTGTTGTGCAATATTTAAACTGTTTGGCATTTGATTATTTTTCCTTGTGTTGTTGAACTGAATCAATATGACAGTTCTTGAGCATAATCAGGACACAGCATTTACTTAGCGCTTAAACTTATCAATAAAGGCATATACAATAACATTTTCAAGTATTTGCTTCTACGGATAAGGATTTGTTTTGAAACTTTTTGAATAATTTAATATAGTTAATCATATTTCAAAATGGAAGAGCGATTTCTATTAGACAAAAAAATACAATTCATGCACTGACAACACAAACAAATTGATATCTCATTTAATCATAAATAACCAAAAATATTCAGTAATCTGTTATTGAATTTATTTGTTATTGTCACTATTTATGGTCCGATGACATGTGTCAAAAGGGACCTCTCTTTTTGCGAAAACTATAGATAAAACTACAGGTTACATGAAAACCATAAAAGATGTTAGGAGAGCTACAATCTTATAATGTCTTAGAAGATCACAGCTCTGCTAACATTAACTATGAAAATATATCTTATCATGAGACAAAAACAAAACTTATTTGTATTGGGTGGTACCCTTTCTTACACTTTAAAATTAATTATAAATTTCCATATCTCTATATATACAGGGAAAATTTGTAATCAGTGTAATAAATTAAATAAAGTGAAAGTCAATAGACAAAAGAAATCAGTAAATATCCTGTCTTTCAAGTTTCTCTGTATAATGAGAAAGTTGAAAGACTTGGATTTTCTACTTTCCTCTCTGTGCTACTATTTTTTCTATCCATGAGAAGCTTCCATGGTCTTCCAACACATATTACAAAAATTAATTAGTCAAATTGGACAAGCAATTTATTAGTACTTAGCAACACATTTAGACATAAATTTTCATATTGAAATAATTATGTTATCATAGCTCAAATGATAACATAATTTTCATTAACAAAACATTTCTAATTACTCAATACTTTAAATTTTACTAGACTATATGGAAATGTTTAAAATAATCTTGAAATTAAAATCCATTCTATTATTTACAAGTCATATTCAATTGGGTGAATCGAAATATGGTTTTCATCCAAATGATTTTTATCTATGCTCATGTCAGCAAGATATGAATAATAGTTCACCAGCTGTGTTTATTTTTATCACCATTTACAAGTTCTGTGAATACCAAAGTTTTATAAAGTGTTAAAGATTTTTTATAAGGGTCCAATGTACATCATGTCACAAATTGCAGGTAAGAAATTTTGATTGTCTTTTCATAATTAACCATATTTTCATTTGCCTACATACAACAAAGATCAATGAAAACTTTTATAAGTATTATGCTTATTAAATCCAAGAGTAAATTCCAAGATATGAAACCACACATTACATTTCCATTGCTTACCTGTGGTATTATTGGTAATTACACCTGTCAAAATCATATGTATCACCTCAGTCAACTGTTCAGAAAAACAGGATTTAATGACTATCAAAGATTAGTTATTCTAATAATGATGTGGCTAATATTTACAAATACGCATTAAACATGAAGCTTTGTTTACTACCAGAATATAACTTTATAATTGGCCATTTATTAATGTTAAAACGATGACACGGTCAACTGTCAAGGCCTATGTGTAGCCAAAACAGTTCAAACGCAATGGTATCAACTCAATTGTGAATACTTACCCGCTGAAAAGATGTATTCGGCATAAAACAGGAGAAAACTGCGTGCCGGTATGAAAAATTTAACATGAAAATCGAGAAAGCGGGTGACCGAGACTACGTTAGACACCGCAACGTCAGAACCATCCAGCCATTGCACTTGCGCTGATTCGCGTTTTATTTAAAGATGTGCTAAAATTTGCAGACATCGGCTGATCTTTTGCAGTAAATGGCGCATAGCTGAATCAAGCTGAATAAATAAAGTAAAAAATAAGGTGAAATGACAGTACGTCAATCTTTTACAGCGATATTTTTGCTAACTGTGTGCATAATATGCCTCGATATCAGAATCCTTGGGTGCGTGGACGATTATATCGACTTGCTTCCATTAATTTATATGAATTGGTATAGGATTCTATAAATACTTACTACAAATAAAAATCTGGAATCACACCATTGTTTTTTCTTCTGCACAATCAGTAATCGATGTTGCTACACTAAATAAATTGTTCTACGAAAAATAGGTCATCCACTTATCTGTCATCTTCATCGATCTTAGTTCTCTCTCTCCAAGAAATAACGATACATCCTCACCCATCCATAAAAAGTGATAAATAAAAATTTATTAATTGTTATGAATTTCATTTAATAAGTGTTAAAAATAGGAATGTATTAATAAATAAACTTCTTACATAAACGTCACTATGTCACTGCCAGTCACTTCTGGATCTTAACACAATATAGTGTATGACAAAAGCGTTAAGCCATAAAGTAACTTACATTAAATTTATAGAGACGTATTGTTGTTCGCAAACTTCAAGAGTTTTCTAAAGTTTGATATTTGTGTATGTTAAAGAAATAAGTGCAGCATCTCTCAGTACTCAATACGGAGTCCTCGATAGTCTGCCATTGTAGAATTTGCATTTTAAGTTTAACGATTATACGTAGTTATTGTCAGTTCTTTCTTTAGGTCAACGACTTGGTGCTAATCATGTATTCTTTTAGATGCTAATGTCTTTAACTCATAATGCCCATCACACGTCTATTTTTTTTTGAGAACTATTCTTTAAATACTCCTCATATCATAGTATTTTTTGCAATTGGTATCACTGTCAGAAAATTCGTCCCATTTTCAGCATATTTCATGTATTTGCGTTAGGACATAATTTTGAATTGAATTATTGTAGCAGTAAAGTAAAGTAAAGTTATTAATTATTATATCATGATTCATAACGTTATAAAAAATAATAAAAATCTTTATTGGATACAAAATGACACAGTTACATATTAGTTGTTGAAGCCTCCTTTTAAGCATACTGATGCCTGTACCAGGAGACTTCGCTCCCTCATAAAGAGTTAACAGGTGTCTTTTAGCATCACACTAAAGTTATTAGTTTAATTCACTATCCGTTGTCTAGCATCCACCATTTATTAACAAGTTCTTAAAAGTAGTAAATAGTTACTAATGATTAAAATTAATAGTCAATCAAAATATATGAAACGTATGGTCCAAATAAACTTCAACCCGTTAATTGGTTTTAGTGTAATGTAAAGAGTAAAAATATATATTCGCCATCGCCACTAAGTCTGTGATATTCGCAGACCGTCCGAGCTGGCGACTACGCTCATAGCTTACCAGTATAATATTGTAATCTTTGGGAAGTATTTAAAAAAAACATTAGTTCCCGAAATCAAACTAGATGTCGCTACGGTACATTCTTGATTTTTCTATGACAACCTTTTCGATTTACTTTCAAGTTTAAAAGTAAATTAGTTTTTAAAAGTCAATAAACAACTCATATTCTATTTGTACTTAATCGTATTTGTATCGATATCCAAGTTTCGAACTTTTCAAATTTCAGTTTTTTGATATGTTACTAAGAAGTAAAGGAAATGAATGTCTTTGGTTCATTCGTTTCCTGCAAAAATCAACTTTTGCTAGAGTCGCCATCTAGTGGAGGTGCTTTTATAGTGCTTTCGTTTTTTTTAAATACTTCCTCAATGAGGAAGTAATTAAAAAAAAACATTAGTTCCCAAAATCACACTAGATGCCGCTACGGTACTTTCTTCATTTCTCCATGACAACCTTTCCGGTTTTCTTTCATGTATAAAAGTAAATTAATTTTCAAAACTCAATAAACAACTCATATTTTATTTGTACTTTTTCGTATTTGAAAAGATATCTAAGTTTTGAACTTTGCAAATTTCAGTTTTTTTAATGTTAGTTAAAAGGGACGGAACTAACTATCTTTGGTCCATTCGTTTGCTGCACATCTAGTTTGATTTCGGGAATTAATGTTTTTTTTTTAATACTTCCTCATTGTAAAGCTGCTTGATTTGTTTTGCTACTTCTTTGGAATTGTATTCACAGTGGCTTGAAGTTACCGAATACGGATTATATCTTCAAAACTACTGAACCTATTTTGATAAAACTTGTAGTGTGCCCTAAGTTGAAAGCTATGCAATGAAATAAAAAAAGGATCATTGCAATTCGACGTCTAGTTGCGAGAATGCCAGGGATATCCAGAGATACAGACAGACATAAAATTCTGCAAACGTGTTTAGAACGTTTAGAAGCATATACAGACCAACATAATGAATGTTACGCCATTTCAACGAAATTCATAATACACCTCGAATCATTGATAACTTTCATTAAGGGCGTTCGTAAAGAGTATATAGAAATACATGGCACTACGATAATATTGCCATGAGTCTCTCGCTCGTGGAGATGGCGCTTAAGCTTCTCAGTGATTCAAGATGTTTCAGTCAAACTGTTACATACCTACTTATATAATACAAACAAGCTTACATATCAATTTAGTGATCAAAACTGTTTTAATATGTTATTGAAAAAGAGAAAAAGACAAGAAAAAATGTAAAAAACTGTTGCTGTTAAAATTAAAAAAAAAAACCTCTTGAATAATTTGTAGACTAAAACATGTTTCCGTTTAGAAATATATAAATAAAAAAATAAATTTAATAGAGTACAGTTTTATGTTTTCTCTCATTCTAGATTTCCTTCGTCTGTGTTTTGTATTTAATTTTATCTAAAAATATATGAAAATATTTTTAAGAATTGGTATCAGCTTTTTTATCGTTGATCATGTCGTCACAATATGGTTTATGATTATGATTTCCGAACGAAATATTGTGGTGTCGAATTTGTCGATTGTGTACCTACATGGCATGTTTTTAATTTTTTACAATTTTTTTAGTGAATTATGAAGGAAATAATTTGATTAAAATAATTAAATTGCAAAATGGCATTTGTCAGTGCAGTGACTGGCGACGACTGTACGAAAAAATTTATGGAAGTTTTGCAAAATGACTTCAAGACTTTAAGTTTGGAGACCAAGAAGAAATATCCTCAGATAAGAGAGGTTTCTTCAATTTTCATCTATTTTAATTAATTGTCGTCACTTTGTTTTGAAATCTTTGATAGCCGCTATAAATTCATACTTTAAATGTTAAAACTACATAGTTTGTAAAAAGTTTTGCCTATTAATTATTACATAAAACACTGATTTTGAACCAAAATTACTATTATCTTTATTGTTATTATAAATCATACTCTGCAAATATTTGTCACATAATGTGTTGAATTATTGTCATATAATGTAAAATTTAAATTAAGATATTATTTATGATAGAATTTAGATAATGTTCTTCTATAAAATAATGTAAAACTTTATCTCTTTGTTACTCCTGTGCAACACTTACGGCTAACTAGATGTTGACATCACATACTAGTATATGCCTATCTTCATCTAATATAATTTTAGACCAGTCAATAATTTCTTAGTCTGTAAAAACATGTTTCATATTATTATATTTTTATTAATTTTGCATTCACAATGCCATACTGAAAATTATTCTTAATACAAGATGCCTGAACATTGATGAGAATACGCTCTGTAGTAGCGAAAAGTAACAAGTGCTTGAAAGATTCGTCAGTTCTGTTAGGTCCTGGGTAGCTCAGTGGTTAGAGCAGTCGCCCGGATTGTGAAAAGTCGTGGGTTTGATTCCCATCTCAGGGTGTCAGGGACCAAGTGGATTTTTTAAGCATTTTGTATTAAGAATAATGTTTCATATTTTCTAAAGCTGAGTTTCTTTTCAGGCTTGCGATGAAGCTATAGAGAAGCTATCTCTTGCATCAAATAATCCACAAGCCTCCCTCTATGGAGTTGTTAATCAGATATTGTACCCTTTGGTGCAGGGGTGTGAATCCAAAGATCTTAAGATTATCAAGGTAATCATATTTTTTTTCTATATATCCATTAACATAATTTTATTTCCAAAGAAGACTTACTGTATTACTTCAATTACTTCTATCCACTTGGTCTATAAAACTAATTTACATGTTGTCACATGTCACATTAAGTACCAAAAATCATATTTCTTCAATCTATTTTGAATCAAATTGTAAGCATAGTAAGGTTAAAAATCTATTATGGAACATCATTATTTTTGGGTAGTACAATGTAGAATCTCCTCATAAGATGAATTTTAAAATAAAACATTTTAGAGATATTCACAAATAAATCTTAAATAATCTTATAAAACATTTCATTCTCACACAATAGGGTAGGTTTGGTAGTAAAAAATAAAGTCATGAAATTGCACAAAAACTAAAATTGACCTAATAATAAATAGTGAGATTCTGATTTTGAGTCTTAAAATTGTATGATTATCTTAAAACGAAAAGTCAGAAGTTTTTGTCTAGGTGACATCTTTTAATCTTGTACTCCATTCATCAGATCAGACGTCATAAATATGAGGGACAGCATTTTCTGTAGTATAAAAAAGTTTAAATTTTGTTTTAATTTGTATTACATCTCTAGTTCTGCCTGGGAACCATCCAACGTTTGATCGCTCAGCAAGGCATCGACGCGAAGGGTGCGCGACATGTTGTGGACTGTCTGTATAACTTAGGCCAAGCTGGAGTATTGGAACTGAAGTTACTACAAACAGCTGCTCTATTGATGACCACTTCAGACTTGGTGCATGGTGATACTTTGTCACGGGTAAAGAAAAACAAATTACTTTAAGCATGTTGCCACAATTAAAAAATAGGCTATATGATTCATCTTTTAGCATAGCTCATTATATGCTCTTACTTGGGCACATTGGCGCATGTAATGAGCCATACCTCCTTCCTTTTGCCTTCCTCTCCTTTGTCTAGTGGTGGTGACACAGAGGTTAAATAATGATTAAAATAAATTCGTAATGATTTGGCAATTCTGGTACCTACTAAACAGTAATATTGATTATTTTATATTATTCAGAAAAAATACATTTGTAATTTTTTTAGTGATAAAACACATGATTGACTTTAGGGAATGCAATCTCGCGAGATTGGGACTCGGGCGAGATCTCGCGAGATTGACATTTTTGTGTGTTTACTGTTTTACCTTAATATTTATTAAAATGACAATCTATTTAAAGAAAAATGAATTTCCGTTCGTTAGTTTTGCTAAAACTCGAGAACGGCTGAACTGATTTGACAAATTTTAGTCTTGAAATATTTGTGAAGTCCTGGGAAGGTTTAAACGATGAGAATATATAACAAAATTGAGAGTATAATAGTCTTAGCTATCAAACTTTCAGTTGACGATCAATATTTATGGTCAGCTAGTATTTGAATAAATTAGGGAAAAATTTAGGTATTATGAGATAAACATTTAGTTTTACGGGTATTTTTAGTAAAGTTTTATGTATTTAAAATTGTTTGACGTAATTCTATTTTTTTATGTAAAACCTTTAAAAGAGTAATTACTGTATTATAATCTCAGAAACGGCTCCAACAATTTTTATGACATTAAGTATGAGGAGGCTTTCAGATGCGATAATTCGATTTAATAGGCTTATTTTTTTTTAAGTTGAAAGTGTTAAATAAAGTTTAGTCATCCAGGTACTAATCTTTTAAGAAACTAAACTTTGACGTATCTAATCAAATACGAAATGAAATAAACAAACAGTCTTCTCTGCTTATATCAAACGAAAGTTTAATTATAATACACAGTTTTTTTTATAACAAAGATACAAAAACTTAAAACTAATTAACTAAGTTGAATTAACTATTAAACTGAGGTTATTACCAATGAAAGAAAACTATGTGTCCCTAGAGATTTATTAGAAATTATAGAAGAAATTAACAAAATATAACAATCAATTTAAAGGCTTATTCAGTTCACTTCACTCATTATTATTGCGAATTATTTTGAAAGTATCTTCATAAGAAGCACTTAATGTCCAAAGAATCTTTACTATTCGTCTAATTATTATGCTAATCAGACATTGAGAAAACCCTTCCGAAAACACAAGTATTGTAAAAATATTAAACTTCGCCTTTTCACCCCCCGGACTCGCATAAAGTCGCGCTGGCACACTTATAATAAATCGTTTTTAGGTTCAAGTTCAATCTCGTTAAACTCGCGCTCATCTTTCGACCGAGATCAATCTCGCTAAAAAAGGCCGAGATCTCATTCCCTATTTGACTTAAAAAAAATAAAAGGCATACAATATCTTTATGTAAGGCTGCGTTTATACAAACGCGAAAACTTGCATGCATCCGCCACCCTCGTATCCATGTCAATGCATAGCAAATTTAAGCTCTCTTGACTAGGTCACAATTTTCAAATAGTTCGAAATTATTTTTTACCGCGTTAGCTGTGCATCATGTCGAAGCGATATAATTTTTTATATAAACGTAGCCTAATAATTTTTACAACAAAGGGTCGCCTCTTTTCCGTGTCCTTCGATCGTCTTTCGATCGATTACAAAACCTCGAAAGACGTATTAAAACTACAAACTCTATTTTTTTACTGAAAATAGGAAATTTAAAAATAATGTGTTGACTACCGGTCAAATCATATAATAAATATCATGTAATCCCATATATTCTATTAAATAAATAATGTAAAATTTTCTTAAGTTGACAACACACGTGTATGTATGTTACATGCAGACGATGGTGATGTGTATGCGCATGGTGTCAGCGAGCGAGAGTCGCGACGTGAGCACGAGTCACGCCGCGGCCGCCACCGTGCGCCAACTGGCCGCGCTCGTGTTCGAGCGGGCGCTCGCTGAGGCTGACGGTACGTCACCAAAGTTATGACGAAATTTTGCATTTACGTTGCTATACTGATACAATTCTTTAATGAAAAATGCTCTGGTTGTCGCTTGTGTCTTGAGCATTTTGATCGTACAATATGTATATTAGTGATATTGTTCTTTTGTACTGTTTTGATTGTTTTAAATGTTTTTTCTTTGCTGACTATTGGTATGAACAAACTGCTATTTAATGTTAGATTTTTCCATACAATACAAGGTTGTCTAGAAGAAATAGTTGGATAAGGTCGCCATTTTTACGTAGTTGTGTAGGTTATCTTGGTCCAGTAGTTCACGTATCACGTGAACGTTTAGAAATTAAATTGATAAAAAACGTGTATTTCTAACAGTTAATAAAACTAAATTAACGTTTTGGTGGCTTTTGAATCAGCCACCTTGTTGAACGTCATAATGATTGAAATAGAAAACTAAGCGTTCAAATAGCGCCACTCAACTAAATGGCTTGCCGCCCATTGAATGGTTGATTTACTCAGTTGGCTGCGATATATGCGTAAGGTTGATTTCTCCGAGCTCTGATACGTCACGCGTTGTTTGCGGTCATTGACAATGAGCATAAAATATTTGTTTTTTCGTAATTAATATAAGAATAATATAATTATTTAAGATTTAATAAAGATAAAAGCGTGAGTATCGATAATAGTATATTAAACACTACCAGAAAAAAAAATTGATGTATTTATTTTTGTTTATACATCCGTATCCGTACAACAGCTGATGATGATGATGTGATCTTGAGTAATATCTATTAATTATATCAGGTACACTTAAAGTGAATCCAGCGGATGTAAGGCCGCAGACAAATAGTAAAGCGCCGAAAGATTTAAAGCCGTGTGCAGTGGACGCTTACTTATTTTTACAGGTAAAATATTAACGAATTAAAATCAACTTTATTTTAGGCACGGTAAAGTTTGTTAACGTTTGTTTCTACTTTTTCAGGATATAATTCAGTTAATAAATGGTGATTCAGCTCATTGGTTAATTGGAATCTCAGAAATGCCAAAGACTTTCGGATTAGAATTGTTGGATACAGTGTTAACTGATTTCTCACCTATTTTTTTTAAGGTAAAGTTATTAAGTTATCGTCATTTTTAGCGTAGACAAAATTATTGAAATTAGTTTAAATCGGGATCTAACATACTGATAAATTATCACTGTATTTTTTTATTGAAATAATATCTGTACCTGTATTTTTTTTAGCAAAAAAATTTGGTGGACTGTGAGCAAACCTCGCTCACTTAGTTAATCCTTTTTAATTTAATTACACTGTAATATAAATAAATTAGTTTCATTAGTCAGTTAATATTATAGCTCGCCAGTAAAAAGGTTGATTAACAATGCTTCATATCCAAGTATTTATTAATTTCCCAAGTAATTTTTTAATATGACAAAAGTACATAGTATAATAATTATTATTTTTCAGATACCCGAATTTCGCTTTCTGTTGAAAGAGCACGTTTGCGCGTTGATAATAAGACTGTTCTCTCCAAATGTCAAATACAGGTAAATTTTTTTAATTGCTGATGTGATACATATGTTTATTCTACATTCACTATGAAAGTTTTTCATTTTGCTTAAAGTTGCTTATTATTCCTAACTTCAGAAACAGGTCAATAATATTGTTACCGGGTTTGTCGTTTTTAAATTCGCAATTCCATTCCGAATTGCGCTAAATTAAATTAAATCGGGAACAGTTTGTCAAAAATATCCATACAAACATTATTCGGTCTCTTAACGTTCACTCTTTTGTTTGTGCAAAGGAGGAACATGGATATCGAGGGACGAACTCGGTTCACATTTTTTTTATTCGTCTTTTGATATCACGCATTTTTTAATGTTCTTTTTAAATGCTATTTTAATAACAAATTCCTCAAAGTTTTTAAAACAAAGTTCATTTGTGTTAATGATGAATCGCTGGAAGATTTGTGAGTTTATCGAGTTTAATTAACGATCCCGTTGTTAAAGGAGTATTACCCCATTCAAACAATTTTTTTGGAGAACTGCTCCTTTAAAATAACGGAGGTTAATGTTATACTGATCTCTCTACAATAATTTAGGAAATTTTACACTCGGTTTCTTAATTGAGAATTTAAAGTTAAACATCTCAAACTAACATCACTTAGTTTTCGTTACCGATTTTAGTTTTTTGATGATCAGTTGATAGCAGTTTGATAAAACTAGGACTATTTGACTTGTGAAATTAAAAAAAACTTAGGTTATTGAGAATAAGCAGTAGAAATTTTCTACTTTTTTCAAATCAGAAACCGGCTGTTAGTCTGTAAATCGATTTAAGCATTTTGACTGCCTTGTTTATTGAGTGTCTGGTAGAATTTGCATGAAAGCAGTCTTATAAATCACAAACTAGTTTATTTCGTTTTTAGAAATGAAGAAGTCAATGACCGATTAAAAACTTTTCCTTAGTACGTCCCAAAAACAGCTGACTCAGGGTTGAAAACGCTCATTCTTTTTCAAAAACTTTGTGATTTAATATCTCCGAAACTATTTGACCTAGACTTATATTTTTTTTATATCGTATTAAAGTCAAATAGTACTCTTCAGAAACCTCGGGAGTGTCGGTCATTCTGTTCCACCGAAATATACTTAAAAATATAGAAACGCCTTTGTATATTCGTAAAATAAATAAAATATGTATTTAAACTGTACTATGAGCTACATAGTATAGTTAAAATATAGGTAGTATGGTTATTACGGTGTGTATAGGGCGGCGTTCACCGCCCCCCATATCCCGGGCGCGGGCGGGGGCGGGGGCGGCGCGGCGGGCGCGGGGGCGGGCGCGGGCGCGGGGGCGGCGGAGCGCCCGCACTTCCCCGTCACCATGAGGCTGCTGAGGCTCGTCTCCATCATAGTACACAAGTACTACTCCGTCTTGGTGCGTGCTCCACCTACATTTATTCTATAGAAGTTTACCACTGATTGACTACTTGACTGTTATGGGAAAAGTATTTTCAAAATATTATGTAATCATTCATACTGAACCACTATCTGATTTATTTTGTAAAAAAAGTGTTATTGAATGAGGTAAATATTTTAACTCATTATTTCTTTAATTTGAATTGTCCCGCGCAAACGATCAGTCACGTGAAATTCCGAACTGTGACGTCAAATTCCAATAAACATGAATACTGGTTGCACTCGCAACAAAACGTTGACGTTTAGTTTATTGAAATGTGACGTCTCACGATTCTTCATAATGACCACACGCGTGTCGTTTTTGTAATCCATGGATTATAAAAAGTTAATGTTCACATATTTCGTAATTTATTGTTACAACTGTCTAGTACCCAATTTTCACCCCAATGTTATCAAACATTTTAAAAATGTCTAGCTGTAAATTCAGTTTACCCATATGACTGTTTATCAAAATTAATATTGTTTTATAACTCTTTGTGGAAGAGCATATTTTTAATTAATGCATTATTATAATCGCAATGTAAATTTAACCTTAGCCTAACAATAATAAAAACTAAACAGGTGACGGAGTGCGAGATCTTCCTGTCGCTGACCATAAAGTTCCTGGATCCCGACAAACCTCTATGGCAGAGGGCGCTGGCGTTGGAAGTTCTACACAAGATGACCATACAGCCGAGTGAGTATTATATACGTGCGATGGTAGTATTCATAGCTGGTGTTTCAAATCATCATCATCACCAAAAACCTTTTAATGTCGCCATTGCTGGGGTTTTTCTCTATCGGTGTAATCGAATAGGTAGAATGGGTCATGACCAGTGGTCAGAATTAGGTAGAGTTATTCATGTACTTACACTGATTTCATACAGCGAAAGAATAAAGCCTCAAACCCGAGATTAATTTTAAAGAGCAGAAAAAATCCCGTGATTTTTTAAATAAAAAGTTATTTACTTTTACACAATTTAAACTACTGCACGCACGACGTTGCCAAACTTACATCAATGACATCGGATGTCCAAAGTTGCAAAATTTGTATTGTCAATTAATGTAAACTAATAAAATTTTTATGTTAATTATCTTTGTTTTATTTGTCTATCTCTGACGTTGTTATTATTATTTAGTTGTAAGATTGTTGGCCACACGGGATTGTCCATTAGAAATCCCGGGAAGGTCCACATTAATATCAACATTTCGATGCAAGTACATAAATAACTCTACCTAATTCCGACCTCTGGTCATGATCCACCGCGCCGTCTCAGTGCGGATTAGTGAATATAACGAATGCTGACGAACGAACGAATGCAGCCGGCACCGACGACTGGAGTCTTCTGAAGCACGAAGGAGCTGCAGATGATAATTTTTTTGTTCACCCGTCCTATGATTGCCCTTTGCATAAGTTGCTTTACAACCGTATCGTAGACTAAACGCTCTACTCACAGCGCCATCGTGCTCCGCAAATAACCCTGTATATATTTGTCGGTCAGATTTGCTACAATCGTTCTGCGAGTGTTACGACATGCGCCCGCACGCCACGAACATATTCCAAGACGTGGTGAACGCGCTCGGCGCCTACGTGCAGAGCTTGTTCGTCGCCTCTCAAGTCAACACCACCGCCGGTCAGTATAATACACTTGCTGTTTTGCCGCGACTTCACACGCGTTAATTATATCCTACGTTAACCCCGTATGATGAAGCTACTCGTAGCTGAAAGGATTTTTAAAGTCGGCTCGGAAGATTCGTAGCCTGTTCGATGCAAACAAATAATATTAGGTAGATAACGAGCATTTTCGTTGGAGCGTACAGAGCACTTAGGGAAATTTTGGACGTAACATTTTTCGGATGTCCACTTACTTTTCCATAATTTCTTCGTCGTTCTCTTCATAGCTGCTGGCTGTGTCTATGATAAAAATCCTTCAGATGTTTTATACCTCCACCCCTCTCTATGTGTCGCATTTCTTTGGCTAGTTGTTACAAAGAGACCAGGTGGTGCAGTCACCTAGTCACATTGACGGCGCGACAAACGACCACAGGATCTTTTGCCTCTAACTTTGCCCACCACAAACAATTTGTCAAGGTTATCTGCCTGACGATCGTAAAGTTAGGTTAGATTTTAATTGCGATCGAAAATTGTCGAAATCTATTCCTCTTTGCCTCGTAATGTACAGTTAGCGTTATAACTACTTGTTTCGAATCGATTTAACTCGATTCGAGTAGAATAGGATCACACAGTTTCGTATCAAGTCAAATGTAAATGTTAATTTGCTGATAAAATTGTAGAAAGGGTGCTAAGAAACTTTGATCACTTTGCATGCTTAGATCAAACGCAACTTTGATAAATTAGGGCGTGTCCATTATTATTATGCTGACTGTACACTTCAACCAGAATTTAATTTTTATGGATAAGTTGCTTGATATACACCATATCTAAGGTAAGTTAACATTCAATAGTTATTTTTCTAGTTGAACTTATTTAACACTGCTCAAATACCAGTAAGACTTCCAATTTAACATTAATGTTTTAATCAAATACATAATTATATTCAAATTAAGTCACGTATTCTCTCCCGAAAACCTCATGAACCCAGTTCTCTGGGTCTGGCACGTGATCGGCGCCGTCGTAGTCTATGTCTAGTGTAATGACGTCATCGGTCTGCTCCGCGTCATCATCGCTCACCTCAGCGGGACTTAGTTGGGGGGGCTCAACTATATTCTCTTTATATTCTACTTGTTCATTTGAATTCTCTTCACCCTCCCCTACGGGTTCAAATTCTCGTCTGTCTATAATGAGAAAAGTATTAGAGATCAATAGTAATTCATTCATCAAGGGTATCCATGTATTAATTATTTAACCAGTGTATATTTGAGGTACTTTAACTACACGATGTGAGTAATTAATACTTACACCTGAGGGATATAAAATACTTTATATGTATAGACGAGGAAAACATTTAGTGGTTGCTATAATAATCACTTACCTGTTTTGGGTATCTGGGTAACTATCTAAAAACTTTTATATGGTCATATTAAACCACTATCAATCAGATCCTTCGAAAAGCGTTATTCAAAAAAAGAAAAACATATATTTATTCATTAATCAAAATCAGTCACGTGACATTTCAAGCAGTGACATCATATTTCAGTAAACATGAATACTGGTTGCACTCGCAACAAAGACGTCGACGTTTACTTTATTGAATTCAATCAATGTAATCTTTTCTCTTTATAATACCAGTAGCCACAAATAAAACATTCAGTTATCTGGGTTAATAACTTGGACATTCGACAGCTACTTTTACTTCAAAATTACATTACTGCAAAATTGGTTTCAATACGGCAGATTCTTATTCCTAAAATATGAATGATATTTACACGACATTTGCGGCGGGTAGCTGACGTTGTTGCCTTCCACGGTGATCACTTGCGCGTACAGCGCTGACAGCGAGCTGCAGGCGCGCGCGCAACGCCGGTACGTGGCGAAACGGTTGCTACGCGACGACGGAGGACAGCCCAATCGTTCTCTGGCAACATATCATAATAAACAGTTAATACATTGTTCAAATGACAAATTTAAACACGTAGTATGTAAATCTGAAACAACTAAAGTAAAGGAAACCCGAAACAATGAAGAAAACTTCATTTTTACACATGATTTCAGAGATGGCGCCTCCTTAAAACATACGTGCACAGTAGATCATCTTAAGATAATGTTTTCATCAACCTTGTGTAATTTAGCGTTGGAAATTGTTTTTTGGTTGATAACTTATTTAAGTTCCTCATTCAAGTGTAATATCAAAGACATCAGCGCTTACATAACTAATAATCTAAATTAATACAAACAATAATAGCACTATTCATAAAAATACGGTTGACTATCGTTGAAAATTTGGTCACATGAACCAACGTTTAACCCCATGAGATCATATCGCAGCAATTGATATCACAAGTTCCTGCGTTACAGCGTCGTATCGCATCGCATAGCTGTGTGGATAGTCCATAATGTTTGATTTTTACTGAGTTAGTATGCCAGTGTACTAGCCTTCATTTTTACTACGATAGCTAGGTGACGACCTCCTTTATGTAATAGAACTTTGATAACAGCATACTCACGTGCAGTTCTGTATTTGGAACACGTACGTCCACACGACGCTCATTTGACTTGTGCATATGCCCGGCGTGTACCGTCGCGAGCACCTCATCTTGTATACAGCTTGGGGACTTTGTAATACTACTGTTGTATCTAGTTTTGTCCAAAATTTATACACATTTATTATAATATTACTACACTTAAAGAGATTTAACGCATCCATACAAATTTATTTTTATTTAAATGCAGTCTAGCTTTAAGTAGCAACATCTATTTCAGCTTTTGTCCACTAGAAATGTTCGTAAATTGGAAGTATTTGTTCAGCAACTAGACAACAGAGATCATTTTGTATTTATTACATTTGCCAAAATTAATATAAATTTTCCAAAAATATTATGTACTACACGAACGATTGCTCGATCTAGTTTTGTTTCCCGGTTTTGGCATTAGAAGTTACGTAGGAAGGTTACCCAGGCTTATGTTTTTGAGGACATTTCTACGATTATATTGAATAGCCTTTGTTAGGTAACAAATTCTTTATAAAATAATTAATTCTTTATAAAAAAATAATTAAATGAAAGAATTTATAAAATCGGTGCAGCAGTTTCGGAAACAATTGAATGCAAATAAACAAACAATCAAAGCTTTCCTTTTTATAGTATTAGTATATAGATTACCTGCATCACTGGATAAAACATATGTCACATAATTTGTCATCGACAGACTTAAGATTATAAACGTACAGTATTTTAACATGACTTATTATTATATCTTATATATTTTTTGACATTTAAGTAAATTCTGAACCATCGCGATAAATTGAAAATTAACACTAATTGTTCGCGCCTAATATTACGCATGGGGCGAGGTGCGCGGGAGGAGGACCGACAGCGGCCGACGGTGACGCATCTTTCGGGTGGTCTCGGAAACCGTCGTGTGTCAGTGCGCTGCTATTTAAAAACAGCTGTTGGAACGGACAGTTATTCACTTTTACCTTTTAACAAATTGAACACAATCTTGAAGCATGAAAACGATATTGAAGAAAATAAATAATTTTATCAGCAAAGGGGTGTGGATTCATTTATTCGTATACACTAATAATACACCTTAAACAATATCTAGTTGGTATATCACCGCAAGCAATCCGTTTACTGTTGGTTTCAGAGGGATAGAATTACGTAGACGTGATTGCCACCGAAGTTATCACACACAGAAGGCCTCAGGTCCACGTGTATCTTCCGGAAAATAGATACCCTTACTCATGATGACACGTACAAAAAATGCTTCATCGAATTCCCACAATATAAACACTCCTTTACTGACGCAGTATTAAAGTGTAAAATTAATAATATTAAAGTGAAATACGCACGTTTATATAATTAGTTGTGACAATTACTTTAATTTATTATCAGGAGCTTCAGGCTTACCACAGCAGTCAGGGTTTTACTGGAAAGGAGTATGGCTGCCTTTGTGTGTCACCTTCGAGCCGGGCACCGCGAAATCTGTTTAGTAAGTGCTTGCTGTACGATCTCCTATTTGATTAAAAGTCTTTTTACTGGTACAGAGGTGGCAACTAAGTGGACTTGATCGGATCACAGAGGCATTCGGATTAAAGAGGTCTACTCTATATAGGTTAAAAGAGGTTGCAGACAAATTCAAATAGTTCTTGTAATTTGTGTTCACTTTTGTACTCATAGCTGTCACTTTCTATATCATACGTTTTATATTATTTATCGCAATTGTAGCTGAAAATTACTATACACCTATATATTGCACATTTGTCATGACAAATAAGTATGAATGAAGCATATCTTCCTTTATAATATCATAGATATAGATATTATTTAATTTTAGTATCAATTTAAACTGTTTTAATAAAGCATAGAAATGTTGGATCGTAACGAGGCGCCGACGATACAAGAAGGTTATGGCATCTCCGTTGCGTACGCTTGTCTGATGGAGATAATACGCTCCATAGCCATCACGATCGAGGGGCAAGAGTACTTCAGGTCAGTATCATTTATATTTAAAGCGGCTTTGTTTATCATTGCCAAAACTCGTGAGTTTACATCATGATATATGTATAGTTATAAAGAAATTCAATTGTGAATACATAATGTCTAAAAAATTGTAAATTAGAATGAAAATGTGTATATTAATATTGCCATCAAACTGCAATACAGCTATATTTCCGTTAAAATAAGTTTACAAAAGATTGACGTCAAAATAAGGCGGCCATTAATGATGACTATAATCTGACCTGACTCGCTGCTAAACGTATAGAACTCTGTAATGTTTTATTTTGTATTTTGTCACGTGCTAATATGTTATTTTAAACGTACTATTGTATTTTAGACTCCAAAAACTCTATGAAGATGGACAGAACGAGACTGATGAAAAGGAAATAAATTCGAATAAAAATGGTGTCACTCAAAAAGGTATTTTAAGAATTAGCCCTTAGTGTTGTTTTCTTTGATTAAGTTCAAACCTATTATGATCAGGTATGAATTAGGCAAAACTGCCTAAAAACTAACTATATAAGAGTTTTTAAATAATAAGACTCCCGCAAGAGTCACACTTTGGTCCCTTATTGTTCATATTGTTTATGTCTTGCGAGGTTGCCGCTATTTTACAAATTACTCTTTATAGCATTATTCATTATTTTGTGTTTATGTTTTGCTCGTACAGATTTTGTGCACGCGAATTGAAATTTTGAACTTAAGCAGCAGCAAATAAGTTTTAAAAAAAATTGAAAAGTCAGACTTTTTCTGTCATAAACAATAACGAAGTGTTTCATTGATATAAAGAAAAGTTTGCTTACAATAGTTTCAAATGATAATAACCGGGTAGTATATTGATGCGAATAAAAAACATCAAACGTCAAAGTCAAAAATGAACTGTGGGTAAAAAAAATAGTAGTCGAATGTGAGACCAATCTGCACTTGTCCGTTTTCAACTCAAACAATAGTTTCAGATTCCGAGACGAAGACTGAATGTAGCGAAATAACAAACAATGTCCACGATGGAGACCAAGATCAGAATTCTAATGTTGTTCAGAAAATTGAGGAACTGGACGATAAGGATTTACAGCTCAAACTACAGGTAATAAATACACTTTAACGCACATAAAAAAGTATCTAAACTTTATATTAAGAGAAAAGGTAAAAAAATACTCCTATTGCATTATCTTACCATAAACTTCAGGGTTATTATGCAGGAAAAATAACTAAAACAACATTAATTAAAGTTTGTTTATATTCGACTCTCAACTATTATGAATCATTTAGATCGATGGATAAGGCGTGCGTAGTGGGAGTGATTTCTTTGGTCATTGGCTGTTATTGGTTTATGAATTAATGAAATTAGATCACGGAATTTGCAAACACTGCGCATGAGGCTTCTACACAACAATGTAACTGAGTGATAATTGCATACATTTCACTAATACTTTTTAACATTTCTGCAGAGTGCATACTTCGGTGTTAATCTTACATTCAATAAGATAGCGAATATATATATTGACGCTAGAAAACAAACACGTAGTAACCCGCATGATTAAAATTGCTCTTAAGAGTATAGAATTTTATATTAAAAAAAATATTATCTTATGATTATCCGTAATAACAAGAATGGTAACTTTTACAGCCCGTTTCCTAATTGAGAAAAATATAAAATTTTAACTGATTATTCACAATTATTTAAGTTTTTTACTTTTCACATGGCAAAAAAATCCTAGTTTTTATCAAATTATTATCAACTGATCATTAAAAAAACTAAAATCAGAAACGAAAACCTGTCTAAATGACGTCTAAGTACAGTTTGAGACGTACTTAACTTTAAATTCTTAGTCCAGAGACCGGGTGTGAATCGATTAATTCAGAAGCAAGCCTTTTAAAAAAAAAGAATTACGTCATTCTGCTCTGAAGAACAATTTTAGTTTTACGGGTTACTATGTTGTGTTTGCTTTGTAGTTTCGATAGTTATATATATTATAAATGGGAAATTATATTTGCTTTTTCTTTTTTTTGCGTTGCAATGGAGTTGTCGTGGCGTGACTTTTTAATGCAGATAATTAGGAGGCCAAAGAAAGGAATAATTAGTATTTTTGGTGTTAAAAAGTATCCTGTGTTATTTACTAGTCTACTATTTCTATACAACCATACCATAAAAACGATCCATTGCGTCATGACAAGAATAATAAATATATTTTCCCATTTCTAATATTCTAGTATGTAGAAAGTATTTGCATATTGTACAGCTACTGAAGTCGTCTTGGTGTGGATTAGTATGGGGTCTGTCGGTACTGGCGGAAGCTAGTATCGGTGAGCTGGAGAACATTCTACGTGCCATACAAACTCTGGCCAGAGTCAGCGGGAAGGTACGTATAACTGGAGATACTAGCTTTGATCCGTATCGATGTCATGTTTTTGTGTCAAGAATTCACAGAAATATTTGAACATTCTAGCGCCATGTAGGAATATGTTAGCACTTTGCTTTTCCCAGTTTTTTTTGTGACAAATATTAAAACTCGTAGATTGATCGCTGTCGTTTGTTACGTTAAATGTTTAGTCCGGTGAGGTCACTGATGTGTTACAAATGCCTGTCGTGTTGGTACGTCAGGTGGGGCACGCGAGCGGGCGGGACGCGTGCATCAGCGCGCTGTGCCGCGCGGCGCTGCCGGCGCAGTACTGCGTGCCGGCGCTGGGGGCCCTCGGGGCCCTGCCCTGCCCCTGGCGCCGCGAGCCCCCGCCCCCGCCCGACCCCGACTACCGCCACCAGGTCGTGTGGGTGGGCACCCCGCTGCCCTCCGCCGCGCTGCCCACAGGTACATGTACGCACACGTATTGTGTATATTGTGAATGGCCACCTTCAAGTTGATGTGTACCGTTCCGCCGCGCAGGGCAGCAGCAGTCGTTCGTGATGGTGACGTCGCGGCACGTGACCGCCATGAAGGCGCTGCTGTGCGCCGCGCAGCGCGACGGCGACACCATACAGCAGGCGTGGCTGCCGGTACTTACCACGCTCCAACATTTGGTCAGTCACTACTTTTATTATTAGAAACTAACAATTATTAACTCATACAATAATACAACCTATAGTCAAGGTCAAACCTAGTATAACCCTTTTCATTAACACATATTCTAATATGAAAAGATAGTGTACAAGTTGTGTTAGGTGTACCAACTTATAACAAGACTGACATACATTTTAGCGGATTTTTTATACCTAATATATAAAATTCTCGTGCCACAGTTTTCGTTACCCTTTGAAACCTTGTAAACATTATTATTTTTAGGATGACTCTTTAACCATACAATATCTAAATCTAATATTAAAATTTTCGTGTCACAGTTTTTGTTACCTCATTCCTTCGAAATGGTTTCACCGACTTTGATGTATATATTCAGTGGGTGTGAAACAAGGTTGTTATCTATTTTTTATACCTGTACGGTGTTACACCGCACATACGTAATTTATTCGCTTACGCTGCGTCATTATACTATACTATACTTGAGGCGTCATATTATACTTGAGGCGCCCGCGTCATTATAGTTTAATTTATAAATATTTTACTTCTTATTATTCAGTATGCAACTAAACGTCACAGGGAAAATATCAAGAAAAGAATAGCCTAATAACTACTTGTGCTACATTATTTACATCTCAATATAATTTATTTAGCAGTGGTTAAACTTTTCTCTGCATACTCGTCAACGAACTTTAACATCCCTAAATGTAAATCTGCTAACTGGCGTTTACAATACCTCTAAGTCATAAGCAGAGGTCGGAATTAGGTATTATTATTTTTATTATTATTTTTTTTTATTTCATGAAATTTAACAATTCATTTAATTTTTAAATTATTTGTTGAAAATAATTTCAAGTTTACTCACTTAACCAACCGCAAAGATTTTTAATTGTTTTATTTATAGTAATTGGTTATGGAAGACTTAAGGTTAGTTCATTGTGGAAAAGGGGTTCTCATGCCCAAAATAGTTTGGGAATCCCTGGTTTATAAGTAGCACAACATTACTGGCACTATTGTTTATCTAACTAAACTGTCTAAAAGGTTCGAATTTCAAACTATATGTAGGTAATTATCATTTTTGTATATTATATAGGTATGGATCCTCGGGTTGAAGCCGTCGACCGGTGGCAGTATGAAGGCGAGCCGTTCCAGTGCGGACGCTAACGCCGTCATGAGCACGTCCGCTGTGATGGCCGATCTGCCCGGTAAGCTAACTAGATGACGTTCATTTATCATTATTTATTTAAATGCAAGGCATAATGTGATAATGAGAAACATAATATGCACAAATAGAATTGGTATGGATAAAAATAAGAAACGAAAAAAGAATAAAAAGTAAATTATGAAGCGAAATTATATCGTAAAAACATGGCGCTGAGATCAATTAATCTTATATGTATGTCGTTCTATGTGTTTTTACCAAAATAGATTTTTTGTTCATTTTTTAACAAAACATGCTTCGTTTATTAACAAATATTAATCTTATAATTATGATATCATTTAGAGTGACGCTTAATCTATGTAGTTAACTGTACACACAGCAGCACGTTAGGTTACCACAATATGTCAAATTACATAGTTTATGTTGAGCTCTACTCTCAATGTATTAAGGTTTAAAATCAATTGTACTTTGACAGTTTCGTAGGTATAACCTGACATCGTGTTGACTGTACTGTACACTGACTATCGTCCACAGGTCAGCAAATTCCCGTGGCCGAGTCCCTCGGAGTCATGAGCGGTACTATAATATGAATGTTCTCTCGCTTTCCGTGGGTTTGGAATAAACAGTGCTTATATCGATTATGTGGTGGTTATAGTCGATTCAGTGTTTGATTGTGTGCATCCGATTCAATGTGTGTCTATGATATACGACGTGTTTTCAACTTTGGCTTAAGGTCGAGCCGCACTAGCACGCGGAGCGACGCGGTCAGAGAAATTCTCTATACTATTTTTTATGAACTAAAACGCACAAGCGGCAACGGCGCCGCATATTTTATATGTAGATAAATAAAACTTATGATAACATCTTGTTTATTTATTGATGATAATATTTTAAACTAAGGACTAAACGCTTGAGTACCAGTGATTTAGAAAATAAACATTATATCAATTGTTTAAGAAAATGTCAATAAATGTCATTTGTGCCGCATTTTGTCTTTCTACTACAGCGATAGTGTGTAGTGTGTGTACTTTTGCTGGTTTCGCTGGTTACGTTGCTGGCCGCGTGCGCTGGTGCCATTTGAATTTTAGCGTTAATCTTTATTATACACACCATTTTATTAGCTTTTGGTTTTCTATTATAGGGCAAGTATCAGGCAAAAAAAATACAGGTCTTTAAATTATGATTTGAGTTATAGATTAATTTTTGGGATTTTCTAATGAAGCCCTTCATGCATTAATTTCATTTTGTTTGTTTGTCTATCGCCCGGCTTCTGAATTGAGAATTTAAAGTAAAGTACGTCTTTTCGGCTTTACGGGTTTTCGTTTCTGATTTTTTGAATTTTTTTTTATTTAGTTGATATCAGCTTTTAGCATGAAAAACTTAAGTTATTGAGAATAATCAGTTGAGATTTTGTACTTATCTTAATTCAGAAACCGGCAATATTTGTTATTATCTCAGATTAAAACAAAAAGGGTAAAATACGGTATGTTCGTATGTCACGTATTGGAAAATAGAAATATACAAGTTCCTAAGATACTGTGTGAATAATATATATGACTGAAGTTATTTAAATTGTTTTATTATTATTGTTAAATATACTTTATAAAATCAGACATGACAACGGAAAATTATGAAAAATATCAGTCTATAACACGCGTTAGTAGTTGTGCAATCAGTTAGTAAAGATCACCATTATATATATTTATATTCACATTTTTTTTGTTTATATATGTATGTAATATTATTTAATATAGTCACATTAAATAATAATTAAATCCGTCGTTTACGAACATACGATAACACATTCTACGTTTATTAATTTACGGTATATTTTTTTTTGGTTTGATCAGTGTCTCATAAGCTGTGTTTCTCGTAGCTCTATCGGCGATGCTGTCGCGAGTGTTTGAATCGTCAAAGAATTTAGACAACGTGGCCCTCCACCATTTGATAGACGCCCTCTGCAAGCTGTCCAATGAAGCTATGGAGCTCGCCTACTCTAACAGGGTAATGTATTATATTATTAACCACCTATCACCTGCGATACGGAAATAATTAAAATTTAATCTTACAATAAGAAGTAGAATAAGTTTTATAATGTTTATTTAAAATTTAAAAAGAAACTATTAGATTTGATTGATTTTACTATATTGGAAAATATTCTTGACATTTGAATAGTTGGTCGATGGATAGGTCAAATATATATCATCATATGAATCCTGCAGCCCGCATCGGTGTGGGAGTGGCAGCGATACTGTTACTGTAATGAGAGTAGCCCCAACTTCTCTCAGATGGGATTCGAACCCATGACCTTTCGCAATGTGTACGACTGAACTACGCAGGACCCAACAGGACTGACGTATCCTTCAGGCATTAATGTTCAGGCAATCTACCCAAACAGCCGAAAGAAATATGTTTGCAAATATTTTAAACTTTCGATTAAGATAAAAATTTGTTCCAAATATTACTGCTTATTTTTGCATCGACTGTAATTTGTACTTTGAATTTTTAAATATTATATAGGAGCCGTCGCTGTTCGCGGTGGCGAAACTACTAGAAACAGGTCTAGCGAACATGCATCGTATAGAAGTCATGTGGAGACCTATCACTAATCACCTGTTAGAGGTTAGTAGCTGACAACACTTGTTTTATTAAGAATTGCTTTAGTAGTAAAAAATAATATTTTCGTTTCTTTTTTGCACACCTTACATCCTGAACTTAAAGCGCGAACCAGGGTGGAGGTTTAACGGGTGCTATTGTTATTTGGCTCGCATGTTAATATTAGTATTCTTTGGTCGCTTATTCATTGGTGACCTGTAATAGATGATCGGAAAATTTTCTAAAAAGTCTTTTAAAATAATTATGGGTACTTATTCCCATAAAAATATTATTTTTGTTTGACATTTTTCGAAAATAAATAAAAAAGACAAAGACTTGAAACTGACTGTATTAGAAGATGAATCTCAATATATATACATATACAATATATATATTTGATGTGAGATATAGACTCTATACATTGGAGCATTATATTTTTGTTTATCCATTTCAAACTATTACTAATTGTTATTTAGAAAAAATATCCGGCGATATATCTTTAAACTTTATGAATTATTTAACCACATATAGTTTTATATTTTGTCTAATCGATGTCTGAACCCCTGTTGTGATCGAGCTGATACAGTCGGGCAGCTAATATACATATAGTTCGCATATTATCATTCACACAAATTCCAGGTTTGTCAACACCCACACATAAGGATGAGAGAATGGGGCGTGGAGGCTATTACATATTTAGTACAGGCAGCTTTCCAGTACCATCACAATAACCCACATTTGGTGACAGAGGTCTGTATGAATTATGTAATATAGTTATCGACATGGATTAGTTTAAATAAGAAGCATGTTTTAAATTAAATATTTACCACTCCTGAATTAGTAATTTGTAATTTTTAATAATTAGTTGACGTATTTTCGTAACTTGAATTCGTAGCGTCTAAATAAATACACTACTACATGTATTAATCGTAGGCATGCTCCTACATCTACACTATTTATCGGATAGTAATGGTTTTATTTCTTTATAAAACGGAAAAGTAGGAAAGTCACATATCAGGGACAGGACAACCAAAAATAATATTAAAGAGACTATCTATGTAAAGAAATACAAGCTATATTATAAAATGAAATGAAAATATCTTTATTCAAGTAAGCTTGTTACAAGCACTTTTGAATCGTCCAAAATAGTTATTTAAGATACAAGTGCGGAAAGTAAGGTTTTCCGAATAAGGGCCAAATTGAAAACACGAGCGTAGCGAGGGTTTTCATTGGCACGAATTCGAAAAACCTTTTACGCTCAAGTTTCTTACAACATTTTTCAATGCTTTTTGCGATAAAATAAAACAAATATATAGGTTAATAAAACTAAGTATGTATTAAAGGTAAAAATTATTTGTTAAAATTAAACGTGATATTTGATTATGTTTTCGTGTCATAAATTTTTATTTGAAAATATTCGTTCTGGGCTCCTAGAAATACTTTTGCCTCTAAAGTTTGACATATTTTCATCAATTTTCAATTCAATTTTATACGCTAACAATGTAATTTATGAAAAAAATATTGTTGTATTTGAAAAATGCTTAAAAATTAACTCCGTCCTTGGCACCCTGAGATGTTTATTTTTGTCACGCGGCCGTGTCCAGGCGCGGCAGCGGCTGCTGCTGGAGCCGCTGTCGGAGCTGTGCGCGGTGCGGCACGGGGACGTGCGCGCGCGCCAGCTGGAGTGCGCCGCGCGGCTGCTGCACTCGCTGGGCGACCAGCTGGGCGCCGCCTGGCCGCTCATGATGGAGATCATCTCCGCCATATCCGCGCACCACAGGTATATACTCGTACACAGCTGGAGTGCGCCGCGCGGCTGCTGCACTCGCTGGGCGACCAGCTGGGCGCCGCCTGGCCGCTCATGATGGAGATCATCTCCGCCATATCCGCGCACCACAGGTATATACTCGTACACAGCTGGAGTGCGCCGCGCGGCTGCTGCACTCGCTGGGCGACCAGCTGGGCGCCGCCTGGCCGCTCATGATGGAGATCATCTCCGCCATATCCGCGCACCACAGGTATATACTCGTACACAGCTGGAGTGCGCCGCGCGGCTGCTGCACTCGCTGGGCGACCAGCTGGGCGCCGCCTGGCCGCTCATGATGGAGATCATCTCCGCCATATCCGCGCACCACAGGTATATACTCGTACACAGCTGGAGTGCGCCGCGCGGCTGCTGCACTCGCTGGGCGACCAGCTGGGCGCCGCCTGGCCGCTCATGATGGAGATCATCTCCGCCATATCCGCGCACCACAGGTACTGCTCGGTGTTACATTACAACATCGCCGGTCCTACCCACTGAGCGTCGTCCGGTACGTGGACGCCGGTAGAGAACTCTTCCGCCCCAACGGCCATCAGTTCTTCTCGCTGTGTGTCATAGTGGTCATAGTCACAGAACATAGAGAAAGATTAGAAGTAGTAAGTGGGCGGGGCAAGCGTCTCTGGCATATGCGCTTTTACTCATATGACGCTCTTTCCTCGGTTTTATGTTTGTCAGTCGTTCGTCAATCGTCAAGTGGTGATTTTACTGATTTTTTCTATAAAAAATACTGTTTTGTGCTATTATCATTTGCAAAAAGCAAAACAAAGTATACAATCTAACTAATGCAAACATTTCCTTTCACTGGTAAGTACAATTTTAGTGCTAAAATATAAAAAACGTAATAATTTGACACAATTTCAAATAAAATATACATTGTTTGCTCAAACCAACATTAATGTTTCTGACCCCGTTTCTAAACAGCAATGTAAATCATATTGTGCACTTTTGCAAAAAATAGTGCTGTGCCTCCATTTGTCTGAAATGTACCGATAGGCTGCTGCTGCTCGGAATCGTATTGTTAATTATATGGATCGTAATCGATAACTAAAACAAATTTATTTAGAGCTTTTCTTTCATCATTTCATAACAACGTTATGGATAAGTATATGCCATAGTTATATAAAAATAAATACTACTGTTTAAAAGAGAAAATAAAAGATGAATTGATACTGAACAGATGAAATAATGAACTATCCAGGCACTTTTTTACGAAGATTCGGTTAATTATTTACACGCAGATAAATATTAAAAAATACTAATGTGCTATTTACGAAGTATATCAACGTTTTATAAACAATATAAAAATCAAACGAAACTTCGTGAAAAGCTACGAGTGTTGGCCTAATAGGTCTTATTAGAAACTGGTGAAACTGGATTTCACTTATTTTGCATTATGCATTACTATTTCAGTTTCCCTAATAACTTTACAACGGATTGCCCTGTTTACATAATTTATTTTGTCCTATCCGTTTTAGACCTAAACCTATCAAATGAATTTCAAAACAACATATTATCTATACAAACAAAAAATCTTTTTTTCAACTAACGTAATATTGTTGGTGGTGTGAATTTAATTTACAAAATTAATTTATAGGCGTCAATTTGATTTACTTTATTATGCTGATTCATAATCGGAAACTAACTAAAACTAACAATGAAAATAACTAAAATATACCAATCCTGCCGATTCAACATTTGTCAAGAGTCTAATTTTCTTAACAGCAAATGCTGCAGAACTCAGTCTACTTGACAAATTATCAATATGAGGATCCCATTGCAGTCGGGAATCTAGTGTAATACCAAGGAACTTTGTCGATTTCACCAACTCAACTTTTTAACTATTTACATTTATAAGTGTATTAATATGCCTCACATTAGGTAATGCAAACTTTATGTATTTCATTTTATTTGAATTAAGCTTTAAATAATTACTATCAAACCACTGTAGAACACTGTCGAACTGAATTACATTTAACTGTTTCATAACAAAATTTAAACCTCTTATTTCATCAACTAATATTATGTCACATCACTAATATGCACTATCGGAATGATACCAGTAAGAAAAAATTACAAATTAGGCTTAATGTAATTAATACAAAAATTCTGTTTGTTTTTTTTAGACTTTCCCTCGTTTAATTATATTACTCCACAGACGTATGATAGAGTTTATCATTAAGTTTTCTTAGTTTTTGTACTGCGTTTTTTAAAAGAAGTTATATAGGGAAAAGCGTTATTTTTCAATATTCACTTGGTTACAGCAAAATCTAATCTTAATAGTTCGCACATAAAATGATGTCCCCAATTTTTTAAAATGTGCATAATCTTAAAATATTTTTTCCCTTCTGGTATCCCCGTATACAGCCACGTGACAGTTCAACATTCATGTTAAAGTAAATTATTTATTATCACGTTGAATTAGAGTTTGCTTTTAATCGTGTGATTTCTTAGCTTAGTATCTTTTTGGGATTTTGTTTATGTTATCACGAACGTATCGCGTGGCGGTTTTTCATGTAGTGAACAAAATGATCATTTCATCTAATTTGTATTTGTGTGCGGAGAGGCGACACTCGGTTCCCATACTAAATCAATATCATTATACTTCTATTCTCTCTCTATGTTCTGTGGTCATATTGAATGACCACGTTTCGCTTACGATGTTCGATTATAATGTCAAGAAGCACGAACAAATTACCTACTCGGTTGCCCATTCTTTGTTAATTTTGGTATTTGTCTTCTTTTCACGCTATTACAGTAAATGATAGTCTGATTGTGTTTATAATAATATCTTTGATTACGCTCTAAATTGGCTTATATATAAGAAGAGATGAATGTGTTTGTACACACGCTACACCATATTTCGTAATAGGCACAATTCAAAAACGCCCAGTATCGTGTCGGGCTCCGGCTGGCTGCGACCGTGCACTGTCCGCTCCGCATGCGGTCGACTCGTGCGTGAGTCTCGAACTGTTGCGTGTTGCATTGTGCCCGTTGCTGATAGGTCTTTTTCATCAATGTCGTCAACTCCTTTATAGTTTGTTCGGTAAATATGTATACGTGTCTTGTGTGACGTCCCCATCAGCGAGCAGCTGATCCGGTCGGCGTTCCAGTGCGCGCAGGTGGTGGCGGGCGACCTGCTGGGCTGCGCGGGCCCGCGCTGCCTGCGCCGCGTGCTCGCCGCCGCCGCCGCCTTCGCCTCGCAGACCAAGGAGCTCAACATCAGCCTCACCGCAGTGGGACTCATGGTCAGTGCACACTGCCACGGGCAATGATATTAATATGTCTAGATACGCAATATATACCAAAAGTCTGAAGCTACTAAAACTAAGACGTTTGTCTTAGATTTAGTAGCTTCAATAAATACAAAATTAAAGCTAGGTTATAAAATAAAAATATTTAATTTTCACAAATAAAATTTCGACATTTTGTCGTCAGTGTTGCCACTGCTATTCACTTTCAATTTTCCCAAGTATATGGGAGCCTTTTGTTTTTATTTTACGTGGCAATAATTTATCTAAATATCTTTTTATAATTAATTATATAGCTCAGCTTAAGTATAGGCAACTGCACTAATTGTGTTAATATTTTTTTATACACGCACACAGATGCTAATGTGGTTTAATTTTTTCAATGCGTGAAATTCGTTAGTTGTCGAGATACAACTTTTGAAAATTACCCATTTTTCTGTTAATTCTGTCGTTCGCACATATTCTGTCTTTGTTTAATTTAAAGTTTAATCGTAGATATGAGGGAGACAAATATAATAAATCTATATATAATATATAGTATAAATATTATTTGCAAAGCTACGTCCTGATTTCGGAAAAGTGCTACGCTTTTTGGCGCGTCTGTTGTATGGGATTGTTTCTCTAGTTATTAAACTCATTGGCCACGGGTGGGTGGAGTTAACAAGAAATAGCTTAGATAACGGCCATTAAAGTTTAGTTTAGTTTAGTAGAAATATACAAAAGCGTGATGTCATGTGACATTTATCGCCGTAATTTAACGATTACGCAAAAAATAATAATAAAAATGCGTGTTTATTTTTTAAATGTCATCATTCCTATTCAATACGAATAATAAGGTTATTACACTAGTTCTGACCAATTAGTAACATTGTCAAGGATCTATGAAATGGCCAAGAGCAAGGTAATGGAACGAAACTGACGCATTCACCCTATGTTTTTACAATAAGTTAATACATAATAAGGTTTGATGCAGCGGGTATAGTATAATTTTATCGTGTGCTTGATACTTGACCGTGACTTGATAGTTGTGACGTAGTGAGCCTCGACTTCTCAACTTTAATCTTATTGGCTAAGAAATTTTATTTTAAATTGAAGAAAAAAAATACATATCTGATTTTTCTATTATCTGATTGACGGACTAAATAGAATTCCTTTTTTTAACCCAAACCATGTGTGGCCAATGTTTCTGCTCGGCAAGTTCCTATTATGGTTTTCGAATTATTGTTATCTATTTGGCAGTGGAACATATCGGATTACCTTTATCACAATCGAGATAAGCTGGTGACGGCGTTGGCGAAGGACCAGGCTGTCACTCCGGAAGTACCAAACCATTCTGAACTACCGCCGCTTGACAAACTATGGATGTGCCTCTACATAAGACTGAGTGAGTGTTAATAATATGTGGTTACCCAACTAACACCTTCGAAATTTAGTTTATTTTATGACACCCATATCATATCACAATATCAAATCAAAGAAAGTAATATTTATATCAGAAATAAAATAAACAATTATACGGATTAGTGTGTTCGTATGCGTTCCGGGGCAATCGAGAAATTTAACGACTTGGAAATCAATATATTCATAATTTAGTATTAACGTTACAAAGTTAAAAGGTAAAGCCTTTTTATAATATTACAAGTTTTGATTGTTAGTTTTGCATAGAACAGACTCTGAAGCCACTGGACCTATTTTTTTTTTCATCTACGGGCTATAATTTACCCGGGCTAAATCCCGGGAAATCGGATAGTTATTAATATAGACCTTTTTTATTTCATCTGTTTTTACGTTACGTGCAGGTGAGTTGTGTACGGAACCCCGTGCGCCAGTTCGCCGCGCCGCTAGTCAGACACTGTTCAGTTGTATAGGCGCCCATGGAACCCTACTCAGCAAACCGGCGTGGAGAGCACTGATGAGCGTCCTCTTCCCAATGTTGGGAGAGGTGAGTGAGATAATTTTGAAAGAAAAAGCCCCAGGTACCCCGAGGTGTTTCAAACCCACAACTATTTTCTGCTCTAACCAATGAGCTGCCCCAATAGAACTTACGAATTCTTTAAGCACTTGTTACTTTTTGCTACTGGTGGGTGTATTTTCATCAATGTTCAATTTCCAAATCATTATTATCCCTACTGGGCACAGGTCTTCTCTATGGATGGTAACAAATCACATAGGGAAGATGGGTCGTAAACCACTATAGGAGATCTGTGTGGATTGGTGGGTGTCAATGATTAAAAATACTGATATTAAAACAACCACTAACACCTCGGGTTTGGAGCGCTGGGTTCGGACCAACCTGTTGCCGCTTATACACCACTGGACCTCTTCAGTTGTAAATCTCGCCGAAGCACTGCCAGGCCAGTGGATCACGGAGACCTAACTATTGCGAACAGTTGATTTGGACCATATAACGTATAATGGTCTTAGCTACTATTTATTTATACAGTAATTGCACTTTTCGTCATTCTCTCTCTCTCTAAAAACTAAAATTTACATCATAATAAACATAGAGATTCTGATTTTAAGTCATAAAATCGCACGATTATCTTATTATCTTAAAATTAAAAGTCGTGATTTATTGTCTGCGCGTCACGTGACTTGAGACAAGTTCCGCCATTCTGTGACGTCACTGTGACAACGCTGTGAGATTAGTCATAAAGATATGCTTAATAATTATAAATCAAATTCCTAGATGGCGCTGTTCTTAGTTTATTTATATCTTTTTATTTTGTAATCGATCTTTAGATGGTATTTTTCTTGTTTTATTTACATATTTTAATCTTCTACTCTATGCTTCTGTTTTGTGTACACATCACAATGACGTCATATGGTAATCTTTGGTACTTAACGTTTAGGTGTATTGTCTTCAATACTTTTTGATAAGGAGGAGTGAGATCCCCTGGAACAAGCGCCTGACATGGCACTTAAAAAAAGGTCTCAACCTATGTAAATATTGAAAATGTAAATGTTTCGAGACAATAAAATATTATTATTATTATGACGTCATGAATATGATGTCATGAATGAATATGAATCCTTTTCGCGAGCATAAAAAAAGTTAAAATTTAAATAAACAGTTACAAGTATTGATGTAGAGTAGAATACCCAATTTTTTATTACAGGTTCAAAAGCAATCGAATATCGCAAGCTCAGAGAAAGTAGACACAGGCGAACATATACTGATACACCACACTAGAAATACAGCGCAGAAGCAATGGGCAGAAACACAGGTGACTTGATTCAATTGATAATTCCTCATCATATTTAATAATGATATTAGTCTATATACAGGGCGAAATGATAAAACAGATTTTAGTATAAGTACAGTCAGCAAAAAATGCTATAATGCAAAAAAAAATTCTAACGATCGTATTTTATATGTATAGTTTAGATATTTGGAAAATGCTATGGTGTCCTTGGACCGCTTTTACATGAATATAACTATTACGTATTTTCTCTTACCGTGTCGTTTAAAAATGCACCTTTTGTGAAGACCTGTTGGAAGAAATGTAACATTTTATAATTCATTACGTGCAATCGTCGATTGATCTTAACCACCGTGCCAGAGAGCTCTCTATATTTACTCAGTGGCTATAGAGTTATTACGTTGAAGTTTGATGTTAAATGCGTACAATATTCACATGGATCGTACACCATCCTAGTGGTAACTTGCTATAAAGAAAACAGCGAACAGTCAAAATTTATTTTCACTGGTACATCGTAAAATTTGCCAGATATATCATATATTTTCCAATTCTAATATTCCGTCGATGTGTATATATTAACTGTAATTGTCAATGGTGTAAATTTTCAATCGTCCAGGTGTTGACGTTGTCAGGGGTCTCGCGCGTGTTTCATTCGCGGTTCCAGCTGTTGACGACGGTGGGTGACTTCAACAGATCTTGGGCGGCCCTACTCGACTACATCACTGACTTCGCGCTAACGAGGAGTCACGAGGTGACTATGTTTATAATATTGAATGTACATACACATAAACATTAACAGTAAAAATCAACTAGGGCGGGCTCGCCGATGTACTTGTTCAGATGATTAATTTTCGAATCGCAAGGGCGAGGTATTTTACTCTTTATAATTAATAAAAGAAGACTAAATATAGATTCTAATTATACTTCGTTCGTCATCGGAATCTATATATCAAGTATGCACAAACGTAGATTTACGTATAACAAATCGCGCGCAGGTGTCTGTGGCGGCGTTGAAGTCATTCCAAGAGGTGGTGAGCGCGGCGGGGCGGTGGGCGGAGGGCGCGGAGAGCGGCAGCGCCCTCTACCGGCGCGTGTGGGCGCACGCCTGGGCCGCCTGGGGGAACGTCGCCGCCCACGCGCCCCACGCGTCCCACGCACGCCACGCCCCCGGTAACTATACGGACTCTAGCATTGACGACGGTCAGTATCGGAAACTGAGTGAAAATATAATACATACGAAGATCTGTTCTGAGAAACCAAGTTAAAATCGACGATTTTAATGAATATGTGGGGAACCCACTATACATACATACAACATTCCATATTTATTTATTTATATATATTCACCACTACCATAAACATTCACATAGATTATTGAAACACTCTGGCAATTACAAAAAGAATAACAATAAAAAGAATATATATATTGTACTAGCTGACCCGACAGACTTCGTCCTGTCAAAAAGCCTACATTGCTTAGACAACAGTGAGTGCTTGTAATTTAATATGAACTTTATACCATAGCAATAAAGCTCAAATTGACTACGTTTTAGTTACAAATCATTTGTATGGGAAAAAGAAAAGGGCTATTTTTAGGGTTTTTCCAGCAATAATTCTAATTTTTCTCGCCGTAAAAACCATCCTTGAACTTCAACGAACATTTTAAAAAAAGATTTGGCCAAATTGGTCGAGGCGTTGTTGAGTTATGCGCTTACCAACACATTTTGCGATTCATTTTTATATATAAGATTGGTTTATACTCTCTGATCAAATCATTTTTTCGGAATTTGTTTCAGTATTAATATCTTTAAGACATTGATTATATTTTGTTATTTTGAGATTGTATATATTCAGACTAAAGAAATTGTGCAAAGTTATTTGGAAGTTTCAATTTTCGTCATCGCTACTGCCATAAATAGAAAGGATGCATTAATATAATAAAAAAAATAGTTCTCAGTTCAGGAATCGAAAACTTACGTTATTTCTACTTAGAGACCGATTGCGTCTTATCTAGTTGTCATATTGTTTGTGATTGTGCAAGTTTCCTCTTAGCTCCACATAATAATAATTCTAAGGTTGACTGGTAGAAAATGCCTTAGGCATTAATCCGCCTTGTACGTTTCAAATAAAATGAAATGAGTAACAAACTGCCGTGAGTTGGGAAAGGTGGCTCCAGCACGTGTTAATTTCTCTTTATGCTCTTTTTTCTTTACTAACTCATTATAATCTAAAAATACAATTCGCAGCTCACATAAACCGCTGGACAAGTTTTACGAAATAACATTAGCTTATACTCTTTGTTTACGCGAGTAATATCCAATAATCCAATATGAAAAAAAAAATGTTTACATTATATAATATTCTATCTTTTAGCGGCGGAAGACGGCAAACCGGTGGAATCGTATGCACCGTCCCTAAACTTTTTGACGACGTTGGTGCAGATATTCCCACTCATCTTCCAACATATCAGACACACGTGAGTAAACAATAGCGTACGCAATACACCAATTTGCACAAATCTATACATATATAAATGAATTTATTTATATAAAAAAAATATAACAATTTATTTACAAAAATAATATATTTTACGAAGCCCTAACATATTTAAAAAAAAACTAGAAGACACGGTTTCGAGTTTAATGCTGCGAATGTTTTATTTATTTGTAATAGTAAGCCAACGCGTAATGCACTGCAAAATGAACTGCAGAATATAGGTAATTAACGACAACGTGATTAATCTTGGAAATTTCGAATTTACACGAACTTATATACATCTGCGAAAAGTTCCGACGAACTACGTCGTCTCAAATCTGGAAATAATAAAAAAACTTTTATTTAGTCGGTTAAAAAGCCAGTCGCACAAATGTACATAAAATTTTTATTTGTTTAATGCTACATTACACATACAAATTTTCAAATATAGAACATTAATTAGTGCTTAAAGTCATCATTGAACCTCAATAGACATAGGCAATTCACTGTAGGTCATATAGTTTCCAGAACATATTCAAACTAGCTTTTGCCAGTGACTACCCCAGCGTGGTCCCTGTGGGATAAAATCCTATTATCTAAGTCAGCTAATACCCTATCTGTATACTAAATTTCATCAAAATCCATGAAGTAGTTTCATCGTGACTGACTGACATACATCCAAACGAAAGAAACTTTTACATTTATAATATTAATAGGATATATTTCACCGAATACATGTCTTATAAATGTGTATCAAATTTCAGTAAATCGGTTCAGTAGTTGAGGCGCGATAACGTAACAGATGCACAGACAGAGCTACTTTAGCGTTTATCACCACCACCACCACCAGCCCTTTTACGTCCCCACTGCAGGGGCTCAGGCCTTCCCTATGGATGGTTAAGGAGGATGGGCCATGACCTTCCACGCTGGCCCAATGCGGATTGGAGGGTATTAACGACTGCAAATGCAGCCGGGACCAACGGTTTAACGTGCCTTCCGAAGCACGGAGTAGCTCGAGATAATAATTTTTTGGTCACCCATCCCGTGCCCGACCCTTGCGAAAGTTGCTTAACGACTACGATCGCGGGCCGCGGCGCTTATCCACTACGCCACCGAGCTACTCAGCGTTTTAGCGTTTATAATATGTATTAATATGGAATTTACGCACCCATTCGGTTGTATGTCGCAACAAAATCAACTTTCGATGCAGTCATGTCTTTTTAAGGCGTTTCTAAAGCGTTTCATATAAAAACGTCGTTGCAGCTTTACTGCAGCAGATGTTCAGAAGCTGGGCGAGTGTTTGGCTAACGTGTGCCGTATAGAGCCGTCCTCGTCCGCGCTCGACGGTATCGGCAACGCGGGCCCAGTCAGTCTGCACGCGTTGCACTGTCTCGACACCGTACACAAGGTAAAATCTACTACATTTCAGCGCATCTGTCGTATTGTAGGCTCGAGGGCCAGGTTCACCACTCGCCGATCGAGTTCCTGCCTTGCTAGCCTATTAAAGACTTATCTACTGGTTTTACAAGTTTCCGTTATTCTTTCGTTGACGCTCTCGTATCGATATGGAACCATGGACATTTTTGAGTTTATTTAAAATGTCTGAAGATGAATTCGGCTAATATTACGATGAAATCACCAGGTAATTTTAAACTGCCTTTTTTGTTTGTTAAATCATTAGGAACTGAGGAAGGACGCCGATCGAAATGTTATAAGCAATTTTTTACTATAGGTAACGTTGCCATACCGTCGAATGGTTATATAATTTGAGAGTTCGGTGGTGAAACTGAAAAGTTGTACCGGGAACTAATCGTTAGATAGCCGTTACGCGTTAGATAACGTGAAACTTTATCAGCGAGCGGTGAAACCGGCCCCGAATACCGTATTCCACTGTCGGTGTCGTTCGATAGCGGCAAACGTGAGTGGTGTGTGTCCGCGGTGTGCAGGAGGCGCTGGTGCGCCACGAGCTGCTGCCGGGCATGTTCCTGGCGCTGGCGGCGCTGGGCGAGGCGTGCGTGACGTCACCGGGCGCCGCGTGCGTGACGTCACCGGGCGCCGCCGCGCGCTGCCACGCCGCCGCCGCCGCGCTGTACCGCGCCGCGCCCCGCCCCGCGCGCGCGCACCTGCCCGCCCTGCTGCAGGTGCCCACTTGAAGCATTTGAATAGAATAGAATAGAGTCCATTGTTAACGTTTTATCGATGAAAATTAAAGATTCGTATTTCAATATATGATAACATTTGGTGATAGCGTAGAGGTATCAGATTTTAATAACTATTAAATCAAAGTCCCCGAAAGACGAATTGGTAACACGTACTTAAACAAGAACGTTGTAGCTTTTTTATATTTATTTGTGACAATATCTTTAACTTATACTTATGTAGTTATTCTTAATAAAAAATACTTTAAAATCCACCTTGTCCCTGGCACTCTGAGATGAGATTCGAACCCATGACCTCTCGCAATCGGGGCGACTGTTCTAACCACTGAGCAACTCAGGACCTAACATTTTCTCTACTTCAGAGCTTATTTTCATCAATGTTCAGGTACCCAAACAGCCGAAAGAAATATTTTTACAAATATTTTAAAATTTCGATGAACATTTGTTCTAAGTATTATATTTGATCAATTATTATTTCACAAACAGTCGCTACATTCATCGGTGCAGACTTGCAGCTCAGACAAGCGACGGCGCAATAGTGAACAGACCGACGAAGCCATGCAGATCGCATCGTTATTGTTACAAGTGAGTTGCGTTGTAATTTCAGCCTTACACCGATAGACGATTGAAGATCTAAGGAGTATCAACAACTATTTGATTAATGACATAGTTTAGCGGATTTTCTGGACTGGCATATTTTTTCGACGTAAAAAAATATTAAATTATTCAGTTATATTCGGAAAATTTTTCATTCATAATTTTGATATTTGTGTCATAAAGATAAATTCAACAAAAGAGTACCTTTATCCGTACCATATTGCGTCACAGGGACACTATTAAAAAAATTTTTTTATTTTTTATTATCACTTTTTAACGGTATTAAAAAGTGATAATAAATAATTTACAATTCGCCTATTTCCCTAAAAAAATGTATATTTGAAAAATAATGTTCCATATACATTTGACCTATTTTCATAAACTGACAATAATCTAAATATCTTACTTTATCTACTGTCTAAGTTCTCAACTGCATACTTAAAATGTAAAAGAATAATTATAAATGGTTTTAACTATGTTATTAAGAAAAAAAACATGAGTGTTTATTAGAAAATGAAAACAGTATAATGGACACTGAAATATGGATCTATTACTGTTTGGACGTTTATATCAGTTGATCCATGGTTGATCGATGTAGTTGCTATATCTGAGTCGTGCTGCTATTTTCAATGAATAAAACTATTGACGATATTAAGATAGTTAGTTTTATATTGTGGCATATCGAGATAGTCTGAATTGATTTGTTGTGTTGGTCGGCGTTTATGTTTCCTGCTTAATTGTTAAATATTAATAGAAAAGTTCAGTTATCACGCAACTGTAATAGTCTATGTTGTGCAAATTCACTTTTTAAGCGCGGCCTTAAATTCATTTCTATATAAATAACCGGCTTAATTTAATATCAATAAAAAGTATTAACGCTCTTTGTTATTTGTTTTCGAATATTTCAAAAATGCGGTCAAATTATGATAAAATCTTGATGCTAGTGAAAAGTTATATAAAAACTTGACCCCTTGAGAGATTTGGGTTAACGTATGTTGGTACGAATCCCTATACAAAAAAGGCATTTTCCTTTCAAGTGTTTCGACTGAATTCTTTAGTATTTTATAAGATAAATATCAATAACTTTATTACTACAATATGTATATTTATTATCGCTGTTCGAATTAGGTATTAGCGACAGCTCTCCCGCTAGCCAGGGAGGAACCGGACGAATATAAAGAGTTTTGGGAAACGCTGCCGAAAGTTTTGGAGACTTTCATGTTTCAGCCACCGTAAGTATGAGTAAATATCAGATCTACCGACGAGCGTAATTTTTTCGGTGGCAATTGTATGCTTTTAGCTTTATATATATATATATCTAATAATTGAAAATTAGATATTCAATTTTGAATAACCGGGTCCCCAAACGAATTAATAATAATATGAAGCGAGAGACATATCGCTAATTAATATCTTTTTAAAATATAAATAAGTAGTATGTTCAATAAGAGTTCTATCGGGGCCAGCATAGGAGTCAACTTTAACATTTTTACACGGCTACATGTGAAGTCGTTACGTTTTTCCTTTGCTTTGATCTGTTACAGCATCGCAAGTATAACAAATATGGTACTCTAGTATAAGTCCCGCCTATTGCTAATCCGCTGGAACCTTGTCTAAATAACAACCGTGTAACGTCATATAAAAATGGGAAGTATAGATAGCACAAATGACCAGAGATAAATCTTTTATCAATTATTAAACTATTTATGAATAATCCCCATAATATAATTAAAATTATTCAATTATTTTTAGTTTGTTAATTCATTGTACGAATTTTCGGAAAAGATTCAATTTATATGTAAATATTGAGGTATATGGAAAAAATAAAATGTATGAAAAAATTACATTTACTTTGTAATAACGCGATAATACACGGAAAGGACATTTTTTTAAACATAACCAAAAGCAATAATGAAATGAGAGATAGTAATATTAATCGTTAGTGAAATTATAGTTCCTTATAGTAAAAATCATAATAACAGTTGCTATTTTAGTCAACCATAATGTGTAACAATAAAACGTAAAAATAACAATCGAAATCGAACTCAACAAGTGTACTGGTTAACCAGTGTTTATTTGTTAACGGTACTGATTTTTGAACGCAATCACGTCATCAATATGGCGGCGGATATTATAACGTATGTGACGCGTGATGGGTGCAGCGTGGGCGGCAGCGGGCACGCGCGCGAGCTGGTGGCGCTGGTGCGCGCGGAGGTGCTGCGCGGCAGTCCGCGCGTGCCGGCGCCGCACGTGCGCGCCGTGCTCGCGCTCGTGCGCGCCGGCAGCACGCACGCGCACGCCACCACCAGTGAGTTCACTTGCATGCTACACCGACATCGCGTGTTAATTATCACGAAATAAATACTCCACTGTGAGGACGTAGCTGAATTGACACTTGCACGCTCGCTCGTGCTCGCCAATCGTTCTGCATCACACTTCGCGTGTATTTGTGATATCTTTTGAATATCTTTTTGATACCTTTTACGATCTTCCGATAGGAGCAATTATATATTAACGCCAATTACACATCTATCACGGACGACGTCCTGGCGACTTCTCCGGCTGATGATTTATAGAAGCCGATAGAAAAATGACATATCGAGGTATTCTGACGAATTAAATTATCGGTATGACAGCCAGTTGCACAAACGTAAATTAAAATTTTTATTAGTTTAAAGTGACATTACCCATACAATTTTGACATTCATTAGAGCTTAAAATCGTCATTAAATCATAATGGACGTTTGTGCAACTGAACGTGTGTCGAGTAAAAAGGCTTAATTGAATATTTTAGTGTTAGAAATCTTCGTGCTCGTTTGACACCTCGTAAAATTGATTTGTTCAATGAAAAGTATAACGAAGGTGACTTCGGTGAACCGAAGATTGTATACTGTTTATAAAACTTATTCTGTATATTCAACGAACAATTGTTTAACTAAACTTAATGTTATCGTCTGTGAATAGACAACGAGCAGGAGTTACGTGAGAGGGAAGAGTTTGCGCGGACTTGCTTCGAGACGCTCCTACAGTTCTCTATGCTCGAAGACATAGACTCGCTCGCAGAACTTGAGAGTGAGTTATGGCTGACTTACCGCTTTATAGAAATTGTTTTCTTTCGCTTCTTTCATTTATATTTAGACTTAAAGACTTTTTATATTATGCCATATCATGACCGTATCTGTAACGAAAACAAACACAGTAGAATAGTTATTTGCCTGGCAACTTCCTGTTATCGTCATGGTATGGACAAAAAACCTCGCAACAAATAATTATCGTGTTAAATCTTGCTCTGTTTAAAATGTTAATATCAGTGAATTTGATACAGTAGATATCTAGTTTAAACTACAATAAAGTAACGGTAAGGCTGGTTTTAGTATAACGCTGAACGTCGGCGCTGAAAGGTTAATGATGTATGGGCTCTATAGAAGCATTCTATTGTTAGTGCGGCTCCGCCTTCAGAGGGCGTTCCAGTGTCATCATCTATTATGTGGAATGGCGATGAACATAGGAGAAGTGTGTCAATGCATCCGATCCACTCAACATAAATAAAAATGTCAAAAACAAGTCCTACTTAGATATGGGTGTTTTCGCAATTTTTCCATAACCGTTACATAACCGACCGTTTTCAGATAGCGATATCGAATGGTCGTTGATTACTTATTTGAAAATTCGATATATCAAAACTGTTATGTAGATATTTGCTTCATCTTTTTTGCACCACGGACCTTTGCTTACATTAGAAAGAGAGGAAGCGAATACCGTGTCTTGGCTACTAAGCTAGCGCTCTTAAGAAAACCTTACTGCTAAGAAAGTAAAGATTATTTTTCCAGATTCGACTGTTCGTAAGGAAAGGGCGAATATCAAACTAATAAGTTTTGAGATACGATACGGTTTTGTGTTTTGCATTTATTTATTAGAAAACAGATATATAGTATGATTTATCGATACGATGTGATATCGTAACCCATATCGGTTTTCAGATACGTTTCGATATATCGAACTCATGCTTAGTCCTGCTACATCGTGGTAGCTCATCACCAAACTTTGCCATTAATTAACGTGTCAAAATTTCTTGTTGACATGCGAAAGTAGTTGACGGACTCGGTATCGTCATCCCTTTCAAATCTGCTTCAATCAGTGTCAATAGAGCAAAAATCTCTGAGCAAATTGGTTGAACTTTTTCGTTGTCGATTCTTCCTTTCTGCATAAATAAAACACTGCAGCAATTTGCACACTCATAGGATTGTAAATGTCTGTACTTGACAGCGATCAGCACGACACTGAAACGTGTATGCGCTGACAACTAGCGCCGATACCTACGCTCGTAATCGGCGGCGTTACACTAAAACCAGCCTTAGCGTCACTAGAAGCGACAAAGATAAAAACCCAATTATACAAAGTAAATTAAACAATGAAAGACCAATCAATAAGAAATATGTTACATTATAATATTTTTATATTTGGTTTCTTATGGCATTGTTAACATACATTTCTTTTAGGTGATACGGACCCTCTCGCGATAGTAGCATTATTGGATAGATTCCAAGAGGTGATAACGAGGTACACAGCGACCGATGATAGTACCGAACCATTACCAAGGTATGACGTTGCACCACTTTGTTATTGTTTAAAATCCACAAAAATAATTATAACTGGTGAGTTATAACCATATAATTAAGGACTATATTAAACTGAATAAGACCAACAGTAAAATTTAATTTGATATTATTACTAGATAACATAAAAGCATTAGAATATAACTTTATCTGTTATTTGATTGTAAAAAATATATATATTATATGTAGATTAATAAATAGCAGATGCTTGTGTACCCAATAAGGTAGCGTTGGTAATAAAAACTTAACATAATAAAACTACAATTTACATTGAAAAAACAGATATTTTTTATTTTTAGTCGTGAAATTGTATGATTATTTTATTAAATAAATATTAGAAGTCTAATTTTTGTCTATGTATCACGTCGTCTGGAGTATGACCCGGCCATGGTGTGACTTCGTATCGGCAGAAACATTTCTGCATTTGTCAGATTAGTTTGAAACAGCTTACTTATATCTTTTTACTTTGTACCACTCTTTTTTGTCTGATATCTTTTAATCTGTTAAATAATAATACGGGTATAGACAGTAAGCGAAAATAAATACATACGTTTGTTTCTAGTACTGTTTAACTTACTATTACTGGTAATATCACACTTTAATTATACTTTTTTAAATATATATTTTTAGATGTAATTATGTCATGTATATCTATAAAATAAAAATAAAACAAAGCTGTCTACACCCCTATTACTCTATGGGTGTGTTTTGTGATACATGTCGAAATGAAGCCATCAATCTGGTGGACATTGTTTTCGCGGGAATAAATATATTTTTTTTCTTATAATACAAGAAAACCTTTTTTTTAATAATGGAAGGTGACGTCATTCTATTAGTTAAAGGTTATTTTTGACTGAAATAGGCACCAACTGTCGGAGATTTCGTTCGTGTTAAAAGCGATAGCCACACTGACTGAATCTATGAAGAAGGCGCCCCCCGGCAAGGTGGACCCGCTCGCATGGCAGAAACTAATAGGTAAGTTGTACTGATATAAACACCACTTTCAGATATAACTTAATTCATATGCGTTAGACGAATTTAAATATTAAATAAAAAAGTACTTAAGATTCCCTTGATTTCCATTACTTATTTTGCGGAGTAATTATAATTTTATAAATGTTGAGAGATGTCACGAATTCATAATAATTAAATATTTCATTTAATTATTTAACAACTATTTTAATAGCACTAAACCGCTATGCGATACGACACCGCATCGTAGAAACTTGCGATACGATTTCGTGCGGCAATGCTTTGGTTCAGGTGACCATTCCTTTAACGACAGTTAACCGTATTGGACATGTTTTAGGAATGTGACATGGATCGCAAAAAGATTGTGGCACAGATTTTATTGTTATTAAACAGATATAGAAGAAAAAGACTGGGTTTATCCATTTATTACGATTGTAAACGCTATTTTTACTTTATTATGATTTCGAATAAAAGGAGAAAAATTTGTTGTTTATTTGAGAATGTGCAGATCTTCATTTGAAGATCTTATCCCTTACAATATCTCAGAAAGGTCTAAAATGGCATCAACAAGTGCGATATAATGTCGCAGGATATCATAATGGAAGTTCTCACGGTGCATTCGTGCGTGCTATTTGCTATATGTATTCACAGTATAATTGTGAAACTTTAAGCGGTACAGTACAAAAGTTGATCCAAAACGCAGAGGGTGCTGTGAGAGATATTAATAATAACCTAACCGCCTTTTAAATAAGTTTTAGTTTTCGTTATTTTTAAGCTTATTTTATTTGTTTTTTTTTTTTTCTATAATTATTTTCTTTCGTGCCGGGTACTGTACCTGTTATATAAGTTATGTATACCATAATATTCTTTTATGCATAATTTCTATAAGGTTTATATCCGGAGCTAGTCCAGTTGGCAGGCAGCAGTCGCGCGTTAGGTGCGGGCGCGGCCCTCAGGAGCGCGCTGCTGCAGTACGGCGCGTTGCTGACCGCGCCGCTATAGCGCCGCGTGCTCTACACCATACACATATAGAGCACGCGCCTCTAGCCGCCCCGAGGTGACTACACTACACTACACTACGCTACACGCTCTACACCATACACATATAGAGCACGCGCCTCTAGCCGCCCCGAGGTGACTACACTACACTACACTACGCTACACGCTCTACACCATACACATATAGAGCACGCGCCTCTAGCCGCCCCGAGGTGACTACACTACACTACACTACGCTACACGCTCTACACCATACACATATAGAGCACGCGCCTCTAGCCGCCCCGAGGTGACTACACTACACTACACTACACTACGCTACACGCTCTACACCATACACATATAGAGCACGCGCCTCTAGCCGCCCCGAGGTGACTACACTACACTACGCTACACGCTCTACACCATACACATATAGAGCACGCACCTCTAGCCGCCCCGAGGTGACTATACTACACTACACTATGCTACAAGCTCTACACCATACACATATAGAGCACGCGCCTCTAGCCGCCCCGAGGTGACTACACTACACTACACTACACGCTCTACACCATACACATATAGAGCACGCACCTCTAGCCGCCCCGAGGTGACTATACTACACTACACTATGCTACAAGCTCTACACCATACACATATAGAGCACGCGCCTCTAGCCGCCCCGAGGTGACTGCACTACACTACACTACACGCTCTACACCATACACATATAGAGCACGCACCTCTAGCCGCCCCGAGGTGACTATACTACACTACACTATGCTACAAGCTCTACACCATACACATATAGAGCACGCGCCTCTAGCCGCCCCGAGGTGACTGCACTACACTACACTACACGCTCTACACCATACACATATAGAGCACGCGCCTCTAGCCGCCCCGAGGTGACTACACTACACTACGCTACACGCTCTACACCATACACATATAGAGCACGCGCCTCTAGCCGCCCCGAGGTGACTACACTACACGCTCTACACCATACACATATAGAGCACGCACCTCTAGCCGCCCCGAGGTGACTATACTACACTACACTATGCTACAAGCTCTACACCATACACATATAGAGCACGCGCCTCTAGCCGCCCCGAGGTGACTGCACTACACTACACTACACGCTCTACACCATACACATATAGAGCACGCGCCTCTAGCCGCCCCGAGGTGACTACACTACACTACACTACGCTACACGCTCTACACCATACACATATAGAGCACGCGCCTCTAGCCGCCCCGAGGTGACTACACTACACTACACGCTCTACACCGTACACATATAGAGCACGCGCCTCTAGCCGCCCCGAGGTGACTATACTACACTACACTACACTACACGCTCTACACCGTACACATATAGAGCACGCGCCTCTAGCCGCCCCCAAGGTGACTGCACTACACTACACGCACACAAACGAGTTGAATGTTTTATTGAAATAATGGTTTTCATCACAAACTTATTAAAATTAATAGTAACATTAACAGCTTAAAACCTATTTGTTGATTTTTCAAAATGTCCGGGTTCTATTCCCTAACTGAGAACTAGTTTTTTGCAAATGTATAAATGCAGTTTTTCTTGTCGCTATAATCGATAACATAGTTCCTAAGAACAGATCTTCGTAGCTCTTTTAGTTTCTGACTTTCCCATACTGACCATTCTAATTATTACAGCCTGTTTATCGACCAATGAACATAAGCCATAATCAGTAAACGAAACATTCAGCACAGATCGCAGCAACAGTGAAGTCTCGAGGCGAGCGCACTTTACACGAAATGAAACGTTATTATATATTAACTTAAGGTCATTCTTATTTGTTTGAATTCACCGATCGAAAATAAACATTATCATGTAGATTATTATATTAATTAGTCAAACATATCTTGTATGTCTCATTTTATTACACATCACCAGTTTATTGAGATTCTTACTTATTGTATTGTAATTACTTATTATTGTTATGTATATATAAATATAATTCCAGTTTTGTGTAGCAATGAAAATATACTGAAGTGAAATAATTATACGAATTTGATTTTAGGATAAATTTTGAAATGGTAAAATGTCACTAGTGTAAGTGTCAGTTATAAATTAATTTTATGAATTACTCAAAATTGTCCTGTTGTAGGCGGCTATTTCTCTATTTTTGAGATTTTCTTTTAACTTTGGATCTAAGAAAAGTGGCAAAAAATGTGTATTTGTCTTTTAGTGATATATACATCACTAATATAAGAATTAGTAAGAATAATTTGCTATTGCATTTGTTTTCTTTTATGTTAAGACAAAGATTTATTAAAGAATTTAGAAGTCATAATTTAATTAATAGATATTTTAGCGTTGTTGTCGACGCGGATAGTAATGCAGGTATGGAATTATGAGGGCCCTTTTAATACTTTTATATAACTTCAATTCTGCATTTACCCACATCAATATTCGTATCCGCAACGTCCGTAGTTTTTTTAGATTTTTTTTACAGTCACATCTTCTCGCTAATCTTCGAACAGTATCATGCTATTTTAAAAATTATCCTATTAAATCAAAATTCGTATTTATTATTGTAATTATTATCAGTGATCGGATTAGGTAGATTCGTTTTCCATAGTTATGTCATAAATGCTCACAGAAAGCTTAACACGGATAAGACATAATTCCGGAAAGTATTTCGAGATTCAACCGAAATTGTCCATGTTGGTAATAATATTTTTACTACTCAATTGAATACTAAAAGCAAGTTATCGAAAATATTTACATTTATTTACCATATCAGAATACTAGAATTGTATTCTAATACTATTTAAACTATAACAATTGGATCCCATTTTATGCTTTAAAATTAGAATATGTTTTTCAGCGTGAATTACAGTTTTTATTCATTTTGTATCTGCATACTCCGATCATTTATTATAATACACTCAGTATATTTGATTATTAAAAGTAGTCTAATTTCTCAAATCGATATTGAATTTAAATATCATCGGATTAAACATAAAAATCGATTGGGGAATTAAAATATGTTATTTTAAGCGTCATATAGTTACATTTAGTTAGCTTTAAAGGAGCAAAACTAATTAAGTAGGACCATTAGAAAAATCAACTAAAATTGTGTCTTATGAAAATTAATTAAAAAGTTATTAGTTTTTTGTTGATAATCCAATTTTAGGTAGGTGACCTTGTAATTATTAAAACGAATAGTTTATACAGGTCTTCGACATTGTCGAATCATTTTGTCTTAGATTATTGTTCTGTATGGCTATTTCATCATGAATGAAAGAATGATTGTCAATTCATTATTATGTATTAAAACACAACGAGATTAATGATTAAATATAGTATGATTGGAATAGCACAATGAAAACAAAACTGGCTCAACACGAAAAGGAATCTGTCTTTACAGCCATGTCTTAAGTACATAGCTCTTCATTTAAACTTCCCTATTTATAAGTATTACTGATACAGCCCATTTATAATAATAAACAAATTCATAATAATTTATTTATGACGAATTTGGGTTTGTATTAAATACAATGCCATTATAATATCTGTGACAATACCTACATCATGCAAAACTATCATATTGCATGTTATCGATTTTGGATTTCAGTTTATTAGAAATAATGTTTGTAATGCATGAAATGTTTCCAATGTATTCCCGTGTCGTACTAATTTTGTTTACAACGTGCGGACTTTAGTCGGTTCACTTAAAGTCGGAATTAAAGTATTTTAGCTACATATATTAAAGAATTAGATTAATATGCTGTTTGTCATTGGAGTAACGATCAATGCATCATTGTGTATTTGACAAATAATGTAGTTAGAATTATGAAATTTGATATCTCATTACTAGTAATCGGAGTAGTTAGATATTTTTTTGGAAATTGTGTCATAAATGCTCATAGAAAGTTTAATATGGATAAGACATATTTCCGAAAAGTAATTCCAGATTCAACGGAATATTGTTAAAGTTGGAAGTGGTATTATTGCTGCTCAAGTCACAATTGAAAGCAAGGTATTACAACTATTTAATGTATTTACCCTACAATTAAAACTGTTGCTATTCTATTTTTAGAATTCAGAATAATATTTTGAAGCTTTTACCTATCTTTTAAATATTTTCTATCTAAATTCTGAAAAAATGAGGACTTACAAAGACCTCCTATTATATTAGTGTGTTCGTTTCAGGCCAATGACCCTAATTCAATCTATCTACTCCACTCATTGCTATGGCGCAGCAAACATGTAGGGGGGGGGGGTTCAACTTTTTTCTACCTAATAGAGTAGTGATGACTTCCCAGCACAGTCGTAGGAATGAATAATTATTGTATTAAAAAAATTCATAAGTACTTTAATAAAGGCGTGTTATAAACTCAAAACACATAATTTCGAAATAGTAATGGGTAATTGTAGTTTAAATTGATAAAAAAAATAAACCATCTGATGAGGAATTATTGACTAACTTATCAAATATATACGACCAAAGATTCTTCATTATTCCAGGCCAACAGTGCCCCCTCCCCCCCTCACCCTTGTCCTATGCCCATGGACCGCCACGTAAAATAGGTGTTTTATATCGCGTTAAATTTAGCTTACTATATTTTGTTACCGCTACTTTAAATTATTATTTAAGTGAATTTTGAAGATGATTTTGTATGAATTACAAATTTTAAGTATTTCAGAGTTCCATTTCAGTTATGAAATTAGCAATAACCTTTTTATTTTTACGTGCAATGTTAACTTTATAGCCATAATTTTAAGCTTTATTGTAAAAAAGGTATTCTTAAACGGTACACCTATTATTTATATATTATATAAAATGTATTTTGTCGTTGTAAAATAACGTTAATTTTGGTACTTTAAATGAATTTGATTTTATTTGGGAAGTTAAGTGCTTGAATTATATAATTACTTACAAACTATTTAATGAAGAGTAAATTACAAGCCGCCAATTTTCAAATAATTAATAAGATATTTTTTTTTTTGGTTTTACGAAAAAATGAAT